CGGCAATGGAAATGTTTTATATCCTGGGTACAGGATACAGATGTCAAAACTCACCAGAGAAACAACTGATTTGGGTTCTTTATTGTATGTCAAGTTTATCTCAATTTTAAAACAAAACAGTAAACACACAGGAGGTGAATTCAGTAATCCAGGGAAAGGTGACGGTACCTAGTTGCCTTGTTATGGGAATCAGCTAATGCGACCATGGGGTTGAAGAAGAAAGTTTCATGCAAACCGTAGGCTCTGTGCAAGATGTGAAGTTCTGTGAAAGTGAGGACTTGGTCTAACAGAACCCTTAGCAAATTCTGAAGCTGACGGGACCTCCAAAACTGCCCCTGGCAGCCCCGCTTGTTTGCAGTGAAGGGCTTGAGGGTGATTAATCATGATCTTCTTGTTGGTTTGTCACAGTTTGGCAGGAAATGGATCCAATGACTGCTGAGATCCATCAGAGTACTTGACCTTGGGGCAAAAGGGAGGAGGGGCTTTTGCTGAGTGTAGTTTTCTACTGAAAATTGGGTTTTCCCAAACAAAAAATGCATTCAGCGGCTGGGCTTCGGTCTTGAATTTATTATTTTTTTTGAATAATTAGGGCTTGAAGGATACAGCAAAAAGGAAGCAGACTGTCAGTTCCCGAGGCAGGGACCCTAATGATCAGTGACACAGGGCCACCCAGGGTTCAGGAGAACTTGATAGAAGCTGAGTGTATGTGGGAAATACACATAGGCTGCCTGCAAACACCGGCCTCTGAATACAGACGGGTTTAGAAAAATAACTGCAGTAATCAGTCAAATCAATCAAAAGCCACATGAATAGTTGGTTACTCATTGAACAGAATTCAACTCTTTAAATGCATTTTCAACATTAATAAGTCTCTAGTTGTTTTAATTTCATGATTATTTCATTTTCTCATAATCTCTTTGATTGAGCAGACACAACTCAATCCTGCCTATCTATACCAGTGGATACTAAATACCTGGCACTGGTATATGAACTCTTCATTCATGGACAGAGGACATTCCTGCAGGAAGCAGGTTCTTGAAAATCCTCTGAGCTGCAGTGGATATTTTTATTCTCTGGCATCTGTCAGCCAATCTCTGTCTTCCCACAGGTTGATCTCTGTCCTGGATTCTGTTGGTCACTGAGGTAGGACTCACCTACTACTTCAAAAGTGGTCAGAATCAAACACACATGCACACTAGCACAGCCTGAGAATGGGAAACCAGGCTTGGCCTTCACTTGGGGTTCCTTTGAATTGTGAGCCTCAGGAGAACAACACAAGGACACGAAAGTCGTTGGTAGCTATCCATGGAATGACCTGAAACATCATCTTTTCAAAAGCAGCAAGCCTGGCATGCTGACCAAAGTTGTCTGCCAAGGAACAACTGGATGCTTGGCCTGGCCCAAATCTACCCATTTCTAAGATTAATTCTCCTGACTGCTTAAGTTCCATTTTTAAAGTTATCTAGATTCTGTTTTCATTGCAAAGATAACACTCAATAATAAAATCGGGATTTTTTAAAAACTTGTAAACATCAAACAATGCTCTCAAGCAGTATCTCAGACACTAAGATCCAAGGCTTTACTGATGACAATGGAGAGCTATGTAGGTGAGGGGAATGTGACCAGAATAAGAAAGGAGAAGAGAAAAGTCCAGCATATTTCACATAGCAACACTGGGAGGGACTGCTTCCGCAGAACAGAGGAAAAGTGAGGATTAGCAAAGTTCTGCCCAGAACAGCAATGGCAGGTCCTTTAGAGCTGCTCCTGATGACCAAGAGCCAACTGCAGCATGAGGGCCATACATTCACCGCCACTGCCCTGCCCATCATGAGACAGAGGAGCCTGAGTCGGTTCCCAACCTCAGATTGTGCTAGGGTGTGTGTGTGCGCACGCGCGTGTGTGTGTGCGCGTGCACTCCTGTTCACTTTTGATATGGCAGGTCTTACCTCACCAACAGAAACCACAACAGAAATCAGCCCTTCGGAGACAGAGTTTGGCTGACAGATGCTGCAGAATAAAACCATGCACTGCAGCTCAGAAGGTAACTTCGCCGAGCCCATGAGGAGAGTTGGAAGCCCATCAAAGCCTGTTTTGATTTAAGTAGAAGAGATCCAGCTCGAGTGTAAATTTGAGACTGTTTGCTTATGTCACACTCTATTTTTCAAATTACTTTCGTATGTCCCATTTCATTTACTTCCCCCACTTCTGGATGGGAAAACTGAGGCCCAACACTTAAAACAACACATCCATGATCACATGGCAAATCATCATCAGAGCCAAAAAGCAAACGCATGTTACTTCACTGCGTCTCACAACTTTGTTCAGAGTTTATCAAGGTTGCTTGGATTGATTTATTCTGGTGATTTGATTTAGCTCCTGGAATTATTCAGGTAAATTTTAGTTCGCATCTGCTTTCAGATATATTTATTCTTTCTTCAGGTTTCTTTTTTCTGCACTACAGTTTTCTTCCCCCTTTATTCCTCCTTCCTCCATTTTTCTGCTAATCTGCTCTTTTTCTTTTCTTTTACATACATACATTTATTTATGTATTTATTTGTTTGTTTGTTTATTTGAGACAGGGTCTTGCTATGTAGTTCAGGCTGCCCTCGAACTTATGGCAATCCTCCTGCCCCAGCCTCCCAAGTGCTGGGATCACAGGCTGCACCACACCAGGCTCTCTTTTCTTCTTCTTTTTTCCCTCTACATCCAAAATATTTGTCTTACCTAAGATTAGTATCATGTTACTGAGTGACTGTATTAAGAAGAATTTTTTTCAGTTTCTGGAAGCAGAATATTTTATCTTTTTATTGTTAAGATTGTTTTGCCAAGCTAATAAAAAAAACTCTGAAATCCTCTTAGGCCAACTAGAGGATGCCTCCGTTTTGTTTTGTTTTTTTTTTTCCTTCCCCAAGTTGGTTCCACACAAATGCATGCAGAAGGTCACTCTTAGGTCCTCAAGATAGTGGTGGGTAATCAATCACATTCAGGACATCAGCATTACAGCAGATAATCTCATGAATGGGAGAATTGGGGGAAGGAAAAAGGGAAGTGTAACCCATTGAGCACTGTGTGCTTAGCAAAGATGCTCTGATGGATTGCTTTTTCTAGAAGTTCCCTGGGCCAATCAAGAGTATATCTAGCTCCACTGACCATTCTTCACTTTGGATTTTGACTTGAAACAAATACCCACAACAGTCAAGGCTCTGTTATTTCTCAGATAGTCTGATAGTTACATTCAGCATGTAATGAAGACTATGTTTAACAGCCTCAAGTAATGAGTATACAGGGGATGCCAGCAGTAACTAACTCTTTAAAAAAAAGGAAACAGAAAGAAGGCAGAAGGAAAAAAAGAAAGAGAAACAGAAAAAGGAAAGAACTCACATCCTTGATTTGCAGAGGACAGGCTTTGTGAGCTTGATTAAATTACCGAAATTCTCTAGATTTCACATGCCTCAACTATAAAATGAGACAGCTTATTCTTTCAAAAAATGCTTATTAAGCATCCATATTCTGATACATTTTATGCTAGACACTGAAAAACATTTTTTTTTTAATTTTTTGAGACAGGGCCTTGCTATATAGTTCAGGCTGTCCTTGAACTCATCATGTCACTGAGGCAGACCTCAAGTTTGTGGCAATCCTCCTGCCTCAGCTTCTTCTTGAGTGCTGGGGGATTAAAGCATGTGCCATCACACCTGGCTGTAAAACATTTTTAATGGATAGACACAGTGCCTATTTCAGCGGGTCTCAAAGTTTAATGGAAGAAATAGATGTGTCACAAGAAAAAATAACTGAATATTTTGAAGTGATGAAAGGGTATTATGTGCAAAGTGCTATGGAAAAAGAGAGGAGAAACAACTCTACCTAGGAGATTATCTTTAGAATTTTTTTGTAAACATAAAGAACTTAAAAGTCTATAGGTTTGGGGTTGGTTGGTTTGTTTTAATCTTCTTTCACACTAATATCTTTCTTCAATAGCTGCTTTCAAATCATGGTTATCATTTTTTAGCATTACCATTTATTATATCACATAGTTTAATCGATGAGAGGTTACGTATTATGATCACTATTTTTATATAGGAACATTGAGGCCTAGAGAGGTCAAATAACTTACCCAAGCTCACATAGCTAAAAAGTTACAAAGCAGGGATTTGAATCTTCTCCTGTCAATTCCAAAGCTTATTACACTCTTTGTATGACATGGTGCTGTCATACAAAGGTGCGTGCAGCCACTAGGATCAGCCACACTATTTTGAAAGCCCATGCAATAAAAATATGCAATTTTTGTTCTAAAATTATTTAAAATTTCAAGATAGTAATAGCAGAGCATTAAGGAAAGCACAAGGCCTCTTAAAGCACTGGGTCATGAATTACTGTCCAGGTTACATACCTATGAAACTGGACCAGCCAGCCACATTTCACTTGTCAAATGGCGTCTTGCACCAAGGAAGAAAAAGCATGATGACAATTTTCGAGTCCAGATCATAGTGGCAGAGTTTTTCAATGATGGTGTTTCACATGTGTGCTTTCTGGTGTTACTCAGGGATTTCTGTGTGTACCACGTGGGGAGAGATCCTATGGTAGCTTTACTGGAGTAGCTCTTGTCCTTGCCTTAAGAAATATTAGTATCATTTCAAGTAAAAAGGCATCTGGGTAAAAGTATGTAGTCTTTAAACTGATGAGTTTTGGCCATATCCTTACCTTAAATCTAGAACTCTGGGAGGGATACATGAATGCAGTATACACATAACATATCCAAAAGCCTTTTGGATAAGTCTATTGTTAAATTACAGGCCAGGACCTGTAAGTGTTCCCCAGCATAGGACAGTAGAAGAAAATCTGATGGATTTGAAACACCTTTTCTGTAGCATAAGGATGAAATTAACTCCTGTCAATCTGGTAGAGATCATCTTTTTTGACCAATGATTCTTTTTTTTTTTTTTTTTTTTTTTTTTTTTTTTTTTTTTTTTTGTCCTTTTCATTTTTCTCGGTACCAGGGATCGAACTCACGACCGCCTGCTTGCAAGGCAGGTGCTTATGCCGCTGAGCTAAATCCCCAGCCCCTGACCAATGATTCTTAATAGTGATATTTAATCCGAGATCACAGACACCTTCTATGGTGAGTACAGATCATCTCCCCAGAATAATAAGACACATGTAATAAAATATTTTGGTTAATAATTGTAGACTCCTTGCAATTACTCCAGATCTTTAAATACTGTATTTTAGATCATGGCTCCCTTAACAATAGAATCCTGCAATGTTAGAACCAGACAAACATAGAGATTATTTCTCAGGGAGTTAAACCTGGGGTCATTTGGGACAATAAATTGTGCATTTTCAAACCCCTACTACTCTCATTGTTGACTCTACCCTTGAACTATTATCTGCCCCACACTTAATTTGCTCTGTTTAAACACTGTAGCTCAGTAGAGCAGTGTAAAGCTACAGCACGCCAGGGTGTCAGTGAACATTTGTGGAGCACCTGGACAAGACAGGGGGCTGGGCTCACACAGGGTTCTTCTTCTTGAGATGCTGAGAGATGTCTAGGAGAAAAACATACAGACAACAGTGTAATGTAACATGACATATGCAGTTGCAGATGTTTGAGGTGGGTTCAAAAGTGACCTGAAGAAGGGCACTTTCAACTCAGTGGGATCAGTGAGGCTCCAAGAAGACAAAATGTTTCCTCGGGGACTTGAGTGAGCAGAGGAACGTGGAGGATAAGTGCTTCTGCTTGAGGGAACTGGCATCCGCAAAGGCATTAGGGTGAGAAGGCACGAGGCCAGGAGCAGCAGGAAGGAGTGTGGCTGGCTGGGGTGTAGGGTGTGCGTGAGCAACCCAGGTGGCAAGTCTGGAAAGAAGGGAAGCACCAAGTCACAGGTATCACACCAATGGGTTTGGACATAAAGAAGAATGTAAGTCTGTGTGGTGAATTAAAAAGTCCTTTCATGGGGTTGGGCAAAGAGACCAGACATGCATCTGCCCCGATGGTCTTTGTTGGAAGGAGCCATGAGTGCGAGGAAGAGGTCTGCACTCTCTGGGACCCCATCACCTCTCTCTTTAAACGTCTACCACTGCTGCCAGTGTGTGAGGGTGAATGCTTTTACTCTTAGCCAATTGGGAGGCTGAGGCAGCAGGATTGGACGTTTAAAAGTCCCCTTGGGCAATTTAGAGAGACCCTGTCTCAAAACAAAATTTGAAAAAGGCCTGAAGATATAGTTCAGCACTGTTTTCAGTATGAAATAACAAATAAATAAAAAATCAGCAAAACGGCACTTCTAACCTAACCAACACAGAAAGCCCCTGTGATGCATTCAGAAGTGACAAGCTGCCAGCCGAAAATACACCTATAAGACCTCATGAGAAGCACTCCTCCCCACTAAAACAGAGCCAAAAGGGAAGAGTCTTTCTCAAAATCGTTCTCTTGATATATTGATGTGTTTCCTCCTGCAGAGCCTCACATTTTTCACTCACTCTTAAAATAGGGCCAGGTTAGCCCTTGGAGGCGGGCACTGGAGGAGGAAATGTCAATCAAGAGGACAGAACAGCGCCAGAAACGCAGAAGGTGAATGTTGCCTGTCACTGCTTCTCAGAATTCCTAGGCGCAGGGGTACTAAGAAGTGCTGGTAAGGTGTGTTTTCCCCTAAACAAACGTATAAACGAAAAAAAAAATCCTAATTTCTCAGGACAATCAACTGTATTAAATTACTATTCCTGCCGAATTTATTCTTCCTCTCTTCACCACTAGGTGTCACAAGAATCCTGTTTTAACAGAAACAAAGCTTTAAAAAAAAATACTGACCTAAAAAAATCATTTTCCCGGTATTCAAATTTCTCAGTAAAAAAAAAATTATTTTTAACAGGAGGAAGCTTAGGAACAGTCTGGAACTTACTCCTTGAATAACATATCTCTTGAATCACAAAATGATTGTAATGCTTCCTAACTGCAAAAATGATGGGTCTTACAGAATCATAACATAGATTTTTGTTGAAATATCTGTGGTAAATGTATGTCTTGCAGGAAATTCCATTGGGTTTACACTATTTATTTAATAGAAATAATCTCTGCGATTATTTGCATTTATTTCTGAAGGAGGATGTTTTTCCTTCCTCAGAATAAGTTCAGGAAATGGGTGAAATGTTCAGGAAGTTAGCTAAATGCTGATGTAAATCTAAGAGGAAGGTCTGTTGTTTAAAAAAGGGGGGTTGCAGAAAAAGCCTAGGAAGTGGTTTTCTTGCTCACTTATGGAAAATGTTATACAGAATTTCTGATTTAAAAGGAAAAGGACTAGGAAAAGTGTGTGTGCCTATGATATCTTTTTTGGTGACTCTGTCAGGCAAAACAGACTTACATTTAATAGTATCTAGTAAAGAAAACTGTGTTCAGAAAGCAATCCTAGATAGGAGACATGACTAGGATTAAGCTTTTATTAAACTGAGCTTTAATTATGGAATTAAGTCAGCTATTTTAGGAGATAAACTGTGATAGGAAACTTAAGAGTCCCAAAGAGCTGACAGGCCCTTAACTCCCCACAAATGATTAAACACTGCTGTCTACTACAAGGACTCTGGCCCTTCTACCACCACACGTGTCATGCTGACCGTTGGACAAAGAGAGAATCTCAGAGCACGGAAATCCAAGCTGCCAGGGCTGCTGGTCACTGCTGTAGTTTGCTGGGGTTCTGCATGCTATTTATCTATAGCTGACCACATAGGGCGTGTTGTATCAGATGTACAGCACAAACAAAATTCCTTGCCTCTGAAATACTGGAGTGCATTTTAGAAATAAAGATTCAGCTCACTGAACAAGGCTGCAGAGGATCCACAGGCACTGGTGTTGTCTTTGAAAATCACTCCTTTCGCATCTCCCTGCTTCTACCTTTATTCAGGTCTCATGGCTTCTCATCCATGCATCAGCCCGCAGCCCACACAACAGCCTCAGAGGAATAAAAAAAAGCCGCGTTGGTACAAATACCTACACAGACAGGGACCTTCACACTCCCCTGTGCCAAGCACTGGAGAGATACACCCTCCCTGCCATGGCCTTTCACAACTTCGCCTCAGCCCTCTTTGCCTCCCACTCCCAGAAATTCAGGCTCCTGTTACACTGCAGTGACTTGAAGCTGTGCACCTCCCTTTAGGGAACTCACAGTCGGTTTATTCACAGATTTATCCCTTTCACTTTGTGTAAAGTAGGAATAGTGGGCACACACATCTTTGGACTTTATCGAGTCATCACTTTGAAGTTCTAGAATTACGACGCAAAAGTATCGAGGAAAAAAGGTTCAAAAGACACGAGGCAGACTCACCGTAATGTGGGCATTTATGTAACGCTCTCCTCAATGGAAATATTATAAATTGACACACATGCCTAGAAAAGATGTTCAGCTGGAGGCAGCATTTAGTCACATCAGCGACTAAATGTCTCTGATATTGCAAGTAAGTTTTAACTTTCGTATTTTACACATTGATTTCAGAGGAGCAGATTCAGTCTCAAAAGAGTTACAGTCTCTATGCTCCACCTCTCTCCCTTTCTCTTCTTCCCTGAGCTCTCCTCACAAATTTCCATGAGGCCAGCCTATCCTTTTAGGGGTCAAATGGTGAGCTGACAGCACTTTAGAAACTGTTCCACTACGCTGGGCACTCGGAAGCTGATCTACCCTGGCTAAAGCAACAAGACCTTGGGCCTTAGGTTAGGAAGAGATTACACAGGAGGTTGATAGGTCTAGCAGCACTGATTTTGAGGAGGGGATAGAATGAGACATGACTTCCTGCCATAAACTTCTGGAATGAACACTGTGTCCTATTTATCTCCGTCTTCTCCACAGTGCCTCCCCAGGACAGTAGCTAGCACATGGTGGACCCTTGTCCTACCAGTCAACAAATACTTACTAAGCCGCAGAGGATTTGTTTTTCCAGGTTTAGCTTTTTAAGCTTGCTAATAACAGCTGAATTCTTTCTCTATTTTGTCACCTGTATTTTGGGACTGTAAATTGGAATTTGTCTTTCATGTCGTTTTATTTTGTTTTGTGGCCCTGCAGAGTGAACCCAGTACCTTTACACTGAGCTATATCCCCAGGCGTTTTTAAAATTTTTTATTTAGCATCTTGCTAAGTTTTTTAGTTGTCCATGCTGGGCTCAAATTTGAGATCCTTGTGTCTCAGCCTCCTGAAGTGCTGGGATTATAGGCGTGGACCACCACGCCTGGCTCACTTTTGTTTATTTTTAAATCACTCCATCTCTCCGTCTCCCACTCCAGTGTTGTAGACTCTCAGCATTTACATTTGTTGGGGGAAGGAGGAGGGAAATAAAGGAGAGACAAGTGCAGCAAGCAACACAGAGAAACAGGTCCTCCAACCCATCGCTGAAGCTAAGATGTTTTCTGTGCTGTAGCATTTTTCTAGAAAGTAGTGCTGGATGTAATGGCTCTTGTCACCTTGGGTTTCCCTTCTCTGCTGGCCACATTTGTCACAAAAGCCTTTCAATTCCTAAATTCCTATTAAATAAGGTAATCATGTCCGTCCTCATCTCCTGTCTTTCTTTTCTTATTCCATTCCTCTTTTTCCATTCTCTTTATCCCTCCTTTCCTTCTTTCCACAAATGTTCCAGAAACTGTGCCAGGCTCTAGGATACACAGAGAGGCCATCTGAGTGACTGGAGTCATGCTCTGGGAGCTCAGTCAGTGGGGAAAGGGATGCAGTCACAAACCTTTGCAAACAGGCACAGAGTTTTCAGAGGCTTAACGTGACCAATAATGAGCTGCAAAGGGAGGCAGGAAGTCATAAACAGGAAGATCTAGGACTTCTTCCCAGGAGAGATGACATAGATTTCAGTTGTGAAAGATGAACAGACATAACCTAGCTGGAGAAAGATGGAAAGAGCTTTTCAGGCAAAAGAAAACATACATACATACACACATACACACACACACACACACACACACACACACACACAAATGCACGCACACACCTGGGCAGGGTGAAGCAGAACTGCTTGACCGACTGAGTTTGAGATCAACCATAGCCATATAGAGAGACTCTTGCCCAGACAGAACAAGTGTGAGAGGAAAATTAAAATGAGAAAAATGCTAAAACTTGGAGCAACTAGCAAGTTTTCCTATGTGACTTATCAATTCCATCTCATGGCCTTATACTTTTCCCATTTTTTTTTTACCTCATGTCAACTGAAATGATGCAATCCTCAGGCACTTTAGAAATTTACATAGTAAATCATTTCATCTCTTAAGTAGAAGGGCATAGCCATTTAAGATTAAGCACGTTCTTAGATGAAAAGAGGATTGGAGCGAAGGAGATCAAAATATACCACCCGAATATACTTTTTTGGTATATTTCAAGTTGGTTATTCAGAAAAAATTGCAGACCTTTGCAAACATAAGAATGGCTCTGAAGGGGCTGGGGATTTGGCTCAGCGGCATAAGCACCTGCCTTGCAATCAGGCAGTCGTGAGTTCAATCCCCAGTACTGAGAAAAAGGAAAAAGACGACAAAAAAAAAAAAAAAAAATGGCTCTGAAAAGCTAACCTTTGGAAAAGGAAATTTACATATGTACTAGAAAACAGCAGAGGCAGACACAACCTCTTTTTTGTTATCCTTCCCTCCTTTCCACCTCACAAAAATCCCTTCAGGCAGAAGAGGCTGGGGTCTGAACTTCCTGGCTGGCTTGGAAACCACCACAGGTGCCTGCTACATGGGAAACTTCATCCACATGAAGAAGGCAGCCCTTTCTTGCTGGGCATTTCCTCTTCCACAGCTTCCCACAGCCTTCCCTGCAGAAGTCCAAGCCCCTATCTAAGTGTTCAACTCAGCCTTTTTGCTCCCTTCCCCTACTTTGAGTTGTATACTGAATATGTGCTTAGGTATAACAGTTTTTTTCATAGACTAAAAATCTTCAGAAGGAAGAATTTCAAAGGTCATCTACGTGCTGATAGGAGGCCATGAGGGAAGTGGATGAAAATCAGCCAATTGATGGGAAGGGATTTTTGCGGTTTTCTCCCTGTGGAAAACAGAAACGTTGGAATCTTTTGTCATGAGAGCTGAATGGAAGGATCAATAAATTCTAGAATAGGAGGCTAAAAGAATATGCCACGGTGGCTCTAAGCATTCCAGGTAATACCACAGCCCATTTTGAAAGGCTTTTTTGGGCTAAATTTGTGCAAGTCCAACATATTTCCAGAATATTGAATGATATCTTACCAACTTAGTCATATTGCAAAGAAAAACTGAGGAGAGGATGAAGCCCTTCTCCCAATGTGGTTTATTTCTGTTCACAGAATCTCTAAAAACAGAGACCAAGGCTGACCTCTTCAGTCAAGAGTCAGCTCAACTTTAAAATTATGATTGCATGCGAAAGCTAAAATGGGAAAGAGAAAAAATCAGTTCTCAGGACAGAAATGCTAAAAACCCTTGAGCTGCATTCCAGCTAGGGTCCTGCCCCTTCACACAGAGCTCCCATTGCGGGTGGATGGGTGAGAGATCAACCAAGACCAGTTTTGACCAGTTGAGGGTCATAAGGTTTATACTGTAGGTGAAGTTTATAGATAAAGATATTCCCTATAGTGATTATGTTACATTATCTTCAAAAACAGAAGCTCAAAAACAGAAGCTCATGGCCAGATATCACTATTGAGATAATGTCTGGCAAAGATTCATCCACATTCAATGAAGTACTTTGTAGTAAAGAAATCAGAGGACTAGAGTATGCATTGTTCCCTAAGGGACCCATAACAAATTATCACAAACCCAGAGGCTTAAGACAACAGAAACTTACTCTCGTACTGTTCTGAAAGCTAGAAGTCTGAACTCAAGTTTGGTTCCTTCTAGAGGCTCTGAGGAAGAATCCTCCATGGTTCTCTCTGGGTTTGAGAGGTTCCCAACAGATCACAAGGCATTTTCCTCTGTGTCTACATTTCCTTCTTTATAGATGGATTAGAGGGGCTAGGTGCCCCTCTAATCTAGTATGAGCTCACTTTAACTTAATTACATCTGAAAAGAAACTGTTTCCAAATAAGGTCACATTCACAAGTATTGGGGGTTAGAACTTGAACAGGACAATGCAACCCATAGGAATGTGAAGTGAAAGCAAAAATGAAAACCTGTGTAAAGTGAAAACAAACACAAACCCTGAGTGAGACAGAAGATCTGGCCATCCAGCTTCCCAGCTTCCTCTTGTGTTCCCCTTGCCCTCTGTAAGTCTGGAGAAAGACAGTGCTTGCCCTGCTTACTTCAGAAATGCTGTGAGAATGAAGTATAATCATGTAAGTATTTTCTATTGGGAAAGTGCTTCTACAAGTGGAAGGGATTATGGTGAATTCATTCCAGATTGTGTTGACTTTTCCTTAACTTCATAACTACTTAATGAGTAGGTAATGGAATGAGAAACATAGCCTGTCTTACAGGGAAGAGAATTTAAATTACATGCTTCCTTTCATTTAAGGTTTGAGATAAAAGTACAATAGCAATATGCAGATAAGGAGAAGGGTATTTCAAATCCTTGTACCCTGGACTTTTTACTCACCCCAAGACAGGGTAGTATTCATGGAAAGTTAAAGAGTGGCAAGAAATTTAAAAGCAAACCAAGAGGGCTGATCTCAGGCACATCAGCAGATTTCTCCAATGGTAGTAGCTCTTTTCTCTGTGTGGTCCATAATATTTTGGACCCCATGGCAATGTCCTGCTAATTGCTTTGAATTTGCTTTGTCCAATGACTTTTCTGGATGTGAGGATGCAGACCACCCAGTTTATAAAATTAGGTAAAGAAGATGTTTTCCTGAATGACTGATGTAACATACTGTCTTGTCTATTACACAAAACAGAATTATTGTGGTCAGAAAAAAAATAAGATAAAAATTGAATGTTTTCAAAAAGCTTCTGTTTCCCTTCTCAAAAGGCCCAAAGCTCTAGCAGTGATAAGAAAATGTTTTCATGCTACCAAATGAAGTTAACAGGACTTAGAAGATGGTCACCCCTAGAAATGGCAAGAAGAGTTGTCATGGGAATAACACTTGGAGAACTACATTTACATCCAAAGCATCTGCAATCTACTTGAGAGCTACTGAGGATCACAGTAGTGATAAATTCTGTTGACCCTGGATTGTTGGAGTTTGCTGACCCAGAAGAAATCCCAGAGAGGAAAAATAGCACTAGTGAAAATAAACAAAGAGGCTCCAAGAAAGTATTTTTCAATCTGCCATGCAAACTGAGTCCCCTCTTTCTTACTGCTGGGCATATATGTTTCCTAGGACCCATCCTATACTTTCAGAAATAAGCCAACACACATTCGTTAATAAACAAAACTTTATTTTCCTTTAATACAAAAATTAAATAGCAAGGGTTTTTTGGTACAGTGATAAATTAGAAATTTACAGTACAGACATCAATGCAGACATACTTTTGTACATCCTTAAAAGCAGGGTCTTCTTACTTTGAAATTCAGCAATTCACTCAGGGGATGTGTACAGGAATTTGCCTGGTACCTCTATGTTGAACATCAGAAAGTCCCCGGGTTTGGCCTCCAGGTTTCTGGAGCTGTGGGGTGCCATGAGGATCTAAGAATAGGCCAGAGAACAACTAGTTTGACTGCCATACAAAGCAGACGGAGTCTTACTTTACCTTTTTGCAGATTGCACCTGATATTTAGTCTACCTTTCGTATGAAGAGCTCAAGAAGCCTTCTTCATCTTCATTTAGACTTTCTAAAGCCTCACAACATCCCTGTGAGGTAGGAGAAACTCAGAACCATCTACATGCCCCTCTGGGAGAGATGGAGAAAGCAGCATGCCCTTCCCCAAATCCACAACAAAGTCAGGGCCTATTAACAGGATTGGGAATTTTTAACAACCTGAGAGGAAAGATGGACCCCAACTCTGTGGGGCAGAACTGCTCTCAACCCTTTTTTCAATGACAGTGGTAATGTACTGAATATTGCAGGAAATCAAAAGAGGTATAAGAGTTTTGAGGACATGGCTCATATGGGATCCCAAAAAGGTCCCCTACAAACTACCTGGGTGAATACCAGGAACTTGCTGATGCAAAAAGGTGACATAAGGTAATCAAGATACAAACAAGCCCCTATGGGGCAACTGGACCTACCAGGGGAAGAGGCATGTCAAGGAGATCCATGGTTCACTTCCCTCCTGGTACTGTCAAGCATGCCATTACTACACATTTGCATGGCAACTGGCAGCAACAGGGAGCTCTATCCAGGCTACAGTGAAACAAACTCCATTATTTAAGGTTCCAGTATCTCTTGCTTTGTAGGAGTACAATACTTTCCTTCAGTTTCCAAGATCTGTGACCTAGCCACAGAAGAAAAATGTTAACCCAAGTCCTTCGCCAGACACAATGTGAACCCTGACATGGACTCTGAATTCAAACACAATAAAGGAACAAAGAAAATTGTCAGAGTCCAGGGACTTGACTTGACGGGCTAGAAGAGCAACTCTCCAATTCCCTCTATCACAGAATGAAACTCAAGATGTAGTCTGATTTTAAGAGTTTCCTTCCAAAGTCTGTGCTCTGTGGTTCTGTTTTGTAACTGCTACTGTAGCTACCTGATGAGAAACCAAAATTACACCATCCCAGTGAGATCTCTTCAAATGAGCTTCTCCCTATTGGGATGAAGACGCTGAGTTCACCTTCCTGTCCTCAGGTGCCATCTTGGTTCTCAACACAAAAGGCAACCACTCAATCCCATGACCAAGAATGCAGGGGCCAGAGAGTTCAAAGCTGGGGGTGCTTGACAGAATCATGATGCAGAATATAACACAGAAGTTTTCCAGATTCTGTTTCTGGGGAATACTGGTAAGGGAGTGACCAAGGAAAGAAGAAAAATCAAAAAGGATCTCAGAGAAATGAAAAGTTTCACCCCTTCTCTATTTCAGGGTCCTGAGCAAGCTGCCAAGCTCGGAAGCAGTCTCAACAATCAGGAAATGGGGCTCCATAAAGGAAGAAGGATATGAATCAATCAAATAGCTTAACCAGATGGTTCTGGCCAATTCCATCCCATTCCTCTGTTTTAAGGTTTGACCTCTATGAAGCAGGAAAAAATATATACCAGAGAGGAGGTTGGACTGAGGTACACTTGGTCCAGTTTAATAATATCTCTGGAGGCCAAGGGATTTCTGTAAAAGCTACAAACAGACCTATTTATTCTAGATTTTAGAGGAGAAAAGAAACCCTAACTTTTTCCCTAGTAATACACTGTCTTCAAATATGCCTATACAAGTTACAAGGAACAGCTGAAACACAACCTGCCTGCCCCTGCTCCAGCACAGTAGGTGTGGGAACTTGTTTTCATATATCTTATTCTCAGTCTTCTTAGGGACTTTTATAGAGATTGTCATGAAGCAGAGCTGGTATTTTGATGCAGCCCCTGTAACTGATTTAGAAGGAATTCTAGGAAAGGATGAAAGATGGCGAAAAGTACAGAGACTCGGAAGGAGGTCGACACACTGATTTGAATTCTAGAGGCTCCTACAAAACCTGCAGCTGAGCACACCCAGGGGCACCTCTATTTTATATTCATTAGAATAGAGCTTACCTCCCTCAGTATCCCTAAGGCACCAACATAGGGCTTTGCACACAGTGGGCACTCAATAAATGAATACATAATAGACTTTTGCTTTTTAGAAATAATACCAACTTAACAAAACGTAGAGTTGCTTGAAGGACACTGGAAACTGACTCCTCAGCCACGAAGTTCCTTTCTTGAAACTGTAAACACTCTCCATTGTCTGGAATGTGAAAAGAAAGGCCTATAACACTGTGGCACTGCTAAGGCTACTGATCCAGTCTGTATCAACATCTACTTCTGACCAAATGTACCTTTCCCTGAAAAGGCAAAAATCTGTGGATCAAATTCTCAACACTGTCAAGGTACCAGCTCCAGAATTTAGAATTTAAGTGTCCAAGTTCAATCAAGCACTCTTCTATTGTTATGATTCTTACTTAATCATTAACAAATCCTGAATGCCTACTCCACACTGACATCTGTTAGGTGCTGCCTTGGTCATACAATCATGAAGGATTTATAAAGAAATCTGCCTTAGAAAGCCCAAACTCCAGCAGCAAGGGCACTTACTCCCTCACTGTGTGACCTTACTTTCCTTCCCTGGGCTAAACTCTCCACACAACTCCCAAGACACCAGGGTGGAGCATGAGTAAGGGCAGGCTCTGCTCTGGGGTGCATGCTCCAGGGTCCTGAACAGCTATGGGAACTATCTGCAAGCAGCATGGGGAATTCACATTTTATATTTTGTGGGCAATGCAGCCTCAAATAGAGCTAAACTGGTCCTTCCAGCGATCAATTCTCATGTTCTCCGAGCCCTAACCCAACAGCACAAAGCAGCAGGGGCCACCCAGGCTTAGATAGCTTATATTTCAAAAGCCCCAGTACATTCTCTTGCAAACATGCAATGGCCCTTATATGTATCTTGATCACAAGCAGTTCAGTAACATGTGAAAAGAAAACAAGAGGAAAAAACGACAGAAATGTCAAACCATGGGCATGAAGCTCATACCAAAATAAAAAGACATGCTTATTTCCAGAATTTGATCACCTATTTGTAACTTTGAGGGTCTGGAAATGTTCCTCCACAACAGTCAAGAAAGTTTTCCTATCTATTTTAAAAGGTATGAATTAATAAATAATAAGTTATTACAAAGCAGTTGCTGAAGCAAAGACAGATATGAATTATAAGAATAGCAACCTGTGACACTGACAACAAATTGTCCCAGAGTTCTGGTGAGTAGAATGCCTAAGGCAGATTAAGAAAAAGGCCAGCTACAATTTTAAAAGAACTGCTACTTTTGATAGGCTGCTAGGGGGTACCCCCTTGTGAGGAACTTAAAGCATAAATTTTAAAAGCTTTGGATACTTCCACATAAGGCAATTAAGACCTGCACTGTTAGATTTTGCAGTTCATTTCATATGGTCTACACTTTATTCCCTACTAACCAATCCAGCTCCTGGCTGGCATTCTGGAGATTCATTAAGCACCACATAAATACTCCAGGCCACACTGCCTCCAATGAAATCTTATAAGGAGCCTTTGTCAATTACTAGGGAACAATTATGCGCCAAGTAGTTGGATTAGCTGTCCTTAGTTCCTTTTACAAAAATGAATAAGTCTCCAGTGTGGTAAGTAGACTAGACTCTGATAACATTCTTAAGCTAAGGAGTAAAAGGCACTATCAGTCTAAGAATGCAAGATGACCATAGTTTTAAAGTCAGTTGAGTATATTATGTCATGGTCCAAGAATGTGCTTTTAATTGTAATTGACACACATAAATTACACAGTTAATCTGTGTGAATGCAAAGTTGCCAAGAAATTTAACATTTCAACTCTTCCAGACTGGCGTCTGCGTAGATGCAATCACACAAAGTAAAATATATTAAGTCCCCATTGCTCAATGCAATAGGTCTCTGGGGTTGGTAAGGTAAGTCAACTTTATAAATCTCATTTTCCTCTGAATTAAGTGATTGTCAGAAAGTGAATTACCCTTCCTTCCCCCCTCATTAAGCAAGCTGCATTGCAAAAATTCCTATAAAAATACCTTTTTTTGAGTCATTAGTGTAAAATGAAAACAGCAGAAGCCTAGAAGAAAGATGTTGAAATTCAAGAGAGGAGGAGAAAGAAGAAAAATCCACTGGATACCTTATATTTGTCAGAACAGTACTTTGTTTGTTCAAACAATTCTGTTTTATGACAAAGGCACTGAAATATTTTGACACCACCTCTTGGGAGTGCAATCCACAAAGTTCTAAACAGAAGACAGTGCACCACAAAAAGATGTTTATGTTAGATCAGCCAAACTATAAAACTCTTGTAACACTCCTCTGAACTCAACATTTCCAGTGTTTATAGATCACTTTGCTATCTGAAAGACTTAGTTAGTATTTAACATTTTAAAGGGTTAAAAAAATTAATCTTTCTTTCTTCAAGTTATCAACTCACAGCTCAAATCCCACCCTAGAGGGAAAAACAGCATCGCCCTCGACTTGCTGGAATCTAGGCAGGACCTTCATGCTCCAAGCTGCGACCTGTTAAAATGATCAACATTTTGATTTTTCACAGCTTTGAAAGCCTGTAACCGGCTTTTCCATTTGTGGATCATTCCAAAGTCTGTGGCAAAAATCGCTGGTTTTTACGTTGCCGGGGTGGGAGTGATGGGTAGTGGACTGATGGGGGTTTCTTGAGTGTTGCTAGTTTGTTCAAACTGAGATTGATTGCATCAGACTTCTAGTAGCACTTCCAAAGAATGCTGGCATTTCTCTCTTCAAAACGAGGAACATACAGAGGATGGCTAGACTATACCACAGTTTCATTGCCTGTCCCAGGCTTCACCCAACCATTCCCTCTCTTTTCTCTCTTTACCTTCCCAGAATTCACCAATCTATTGGAACACTTCTGCCACGTGTGAAGAGTTTTGGCAGACCAAATCCACATTCCTGAAGTGATACCCACCAGCAAAGACATAAAAATTTTCAACATTTCAACTGCCATATTTGAGTCATCTGCAGAATACCGAAAGAGCGCCCAGTTGGAGATTTCATAGAAATAACAAGCAATCACACAGGTTGCAGGAACTGTGTACAGTACTGAGAAGACACCAATCTTGACCATGAGCCTTTCCAACTTATCTGTTTTTGTCCCATCCTTTTGAAGATTTGAGCGAATTTTGAATAAGGCCACCAAACCTGCAGCAATGAATAAAGTTCCAATAACCAAGTAAGTAAAGAGTGGAGCCACCACAAAGCCAGTGAGGGCATCAAGGTTTTGGTTACCAACATAGCACAGGCCAGTCAGTTCATCTGCATCCACCAGTCTCATAATCAAGATGACAATGGTTTTCACTGCAGGGATGGCCCACGCTGCAATGTGGAAATAAGAGCTGTGCATTTCAATGGCTTCATGACCCCATTTGAGTCCAGCTGCCAAAAACCAAGTAAGTGTCAGAATAACCCACCAAATGGAGCTGGCCATTCCAAAAAAGTACATCAGCAAGAAAATTATTGCACATCCTGTGTTCTTAAGTCCTTCTTGGATGAGAACAGGTTCTGCAGCCTCTTCAAAATCGCAGGATATCCTTTCCCGGCCTACAGTCAGCCTGACAATATAAGCAATGCTATAAATATTATAGCACATACTGAGAAATATGATGGGGCGCTCAGGGTAAGAAAACCTGGAAGAATCAATCAGGAAAGTCAACACGGTGAAGGTGGTGGAGATGAAGCACAGGCTGGCCCACACTGCCATCCACACATCAGTGAACTCCTTGGCCGAGCGGCTGTATAAGCCAGCGTCATAGCCACACTTGAGAACACAGTTCAGACTCCTTTTTACCCAGATGTATTGATCAGAATTGGTTCCTACAGAGTGACACTCTTCCCCAGGCTGGCTGGGGGTTTTGTGAGGTAAGGGCACCTCTTCATCACCTGGCCCTTCCATGCACATGTGGTTGTGATCATTCTGGGGTGGAAATTTGCTGCAGTTCAGACTCTCGGGCCAGGCAAATCCAAATTCCTTCAGGACAGGCTCACAGCGTCTCTTGACTGAGAGACACATGCCACCACATGGGCCGATGGGGATGTTGATCTTCTCTGTGCACATTGGTACATAAACGGAACAGAGGAAGAACTGGAAAAGTAATAAAATGAACAAAGAAAACAATGACTTGGAAGTTTAATCAAATGCTTGCACAAAGCTGAGTGAATGCTTCTAGATAATGTACACACCTACTTTTAAATCAGGCTACTGGGCATCTGTCTGTTAAACCTCCAACGAGGGTGCCTAATAACCTATTATTTTTAAAAACTCTTCTTAGTGTGGAGAGAGAGAGAGAAGTAGGGCTAAAGAATTATATAATCTTTCTTCTTATAATCATTAAAAAATAAAACTTTAAAAATTAATTTTCAAACTTCTTCCCTATTTAGCTATTGTGATAATGGGGATTGAACCCAGGATCTTTGCACTGAGCTCCAGCTCCAGCCCATTTCCAAGGTAAAATAAGTGAACCTAATGCTGGCAAAATCAAAGGAGAATAGAAGAAAGAGGGGAAAAAAATAATTTTGATGTACATGTACCAATTCCCTACAAAAAATGTTATCATTATATATTGCAAACATGTACTAATAAAAACTTCTAAAAAATTTTTTTTTGAGGCAGCATCTTGTCAAGTTGCTAAACTGCCCAGGGTGGGCTCAAGATTGTGATCGTTGAGGCACAGTGCGCCAGAGTCCCCAGGATTAAGGTATATGTGATCATCCCAGTATTACCTACTATTTGAAAGAGCTAAAGAGTCTAGTAAAATGACTTAGTAAGGGGGTGTTTTCTTCTAATGTCCATTTCTTTATCATCTTTAAAAATGTAAAAAATATAGACACCATTAATAATCTTTTTTAAAAAATTTAAATCAGTCCCATATTAGGACAAAAAATGTACTAAGACTCTGTTAGACCCAAGAATGAGCTGCAAATAGAGGTCTCTGGTCAGTTGGGGGTTTATTTGGTTAGGGTTTCTTCAGTGAATAATAATGAAACACAATAAGAAAATGGAAATGTAAAGTCACTGAAAATGCAATACCAGCAAGGGAGAGTCCAGTTGCTGTCCTCAATTCCTCCGGCATTGATAAACAGTCTCCTTGGCTCCTTACAGATGTTGTCTATGAAGTCTAGAGTTACAAGTAACTATTTTCCAGCATGTAAAGGGATCCAGTCCCGTCCTTCAAAACAGCTTGGCTGCTTCCCCAGGATACATGTAATTAAAAATATATATCCCTGCAAAAGCTGTTTCTCCAAGAAAATTGCCACTGATGTCAGGATATGTGCTGTTTCCAAACTGAGAGCTACAAGATCATTTCTTAAGCTTTTATAACCTATTTTGAAAATTCTGAAACTTCCACAGGGATATTTCACCAGCAACAGGTCTAATCCCAACCATCTTTCCAAAACCACAATCTAACTTTTAAAATGACCTATGTAAAAACATGCAGCTAGTAAGTAAACAGTATGTCTGCTTCTTATCTCTCAAGAACTTAGAGCCAGAACCATAGGTTTCTGAAGCGTTCAGCCTGGACACTAACTTCTATTTTTTCCCCAGCTGCTCTCTTTTCTAAACTTTTAAAACTCCCTCAGCCTTATCAATCTAAACACGATGGTAAATTTTTAAATTTTCTTTCTGCTTCACCTGGCGAATGGGCTGTATATGTAAATTTTTTCATTTATTATTTTAGAACAAACTCTGTATCATTACACATTGCAAAGCTTTAAAAAAATTTAATAACTTTTAAAATAGAGGGAGAAAAACCTTCTGATATACCAACTACTTTCCTGAAGCCTTTTCTTTCCCTCCAAGCACTAAACCTGCCTTTGACCCTGAGAATAAGAAAGAACTCAGGCCAACACAGTAACTCCTTCTTGCAATGACCTCTAAAACCGTGTGGGAATATGCGCAGAGAGGCCGTTCCGCAGAAATAGAGCAGTGGTATTTTATTTAATAACTCACTCCCCACCCCCCCAAATATGGGGAGAAAGGAGGTCGGTAAGGGTCGGGGAAGGGAGGAGAAGTTCCTGTCTCCTTATCTCTCCTTCCAAGTCTGAGCTGCAGCTGGCTGCCCTGTTGGAGACTCGCCCACCTAACAGCGGTGGCCAGAATCCTTGGCAAAGATAACCCTTAACTCCACTGGGGTTAGGGGCTTGGCCAGACATGGGTGGGCAGGGGAGAGAAACGGAAGGGCGGGGTGTAAGAGTGGGTTCTTTCGCAAGCCAGATGACTTACACAACGTTTTGGCTTCCAGTCTCTGAGAAGGGACTGCAAAGTGGTGGTGGGGATGGGAATCTCTTTTCCAGGGGAGCTGCACCCCGCGGGCTAGGAAGGGGACGGGGCGCTCGACTTGGCACTAGCTCCAAGGAGGGAGTCTGGGGCGTCCCTGCCCAGGGGTCCCGCCAGCGGTCGGGGTCGCCCACCTGCAACTGGCTGGAGCAGCCGTACTGGATGAGGGGCGTGAAAGTTGTCAGCTGCAGCTCGGCGTCTGCCTGCAACTCGTGTCCCACCAGGTTGGGCATCTTGGTCACGTTGTAGCCGAGGTTCTGGCACATGGAGATGCGAATGGGGTCGCAGCGCCGCTCCTCTTCGTCCCCAAAGCCCCGCGCTGGCCCCAGAAGCAGCAGGAACGGCAGCAGCAGCCCCAGACTGAGCCCGGCGCTTCCTCTGGGCGCCCGGGGAACGCTCGGCCCCGCGCCCCGCCAGGCCATGGCCAGAGACCAGGGCAGCGGGGGCGGCGGCGGCGGCGGGGGCTCTTCCAGCAGACACCCCCAGTTTGCACCGGAGCGCCGGCTGCTCGCGCTGCTCCCAGCTCCCAGGGAGTGTGATAAGGCGCCAAGGGCGACGAGGGAGCAGTGGCCGCCTCTCCACCAGCTGCGTACGACTGTGTGGGAAATTAGACGCCCCGGGGCGAGACCAGGGGACGGACTGCAAGGGTCATGGCTGGAGGCGGTGAGCCCACAACCCGGCGCCGGCCGACCCCGCTGTGCGCCCCGGGAGAAGCCCGCCAGCGCTCAGCGCCTCGCCGCTCTCGCGGCCGAAGTCCTCGGCGGCGCAGGAGGTTCGCTGGGCGGTGGCGGGACGGGACGGACGGCGCGCCCGACCAATGGGCGGGCGCCGTGGGCCGGAGGGGCGGGGCCTTGGGGCGGGGCCGCTCTCCCGCTGCAAGGGTCAGGCCCCCGCCCCGGTACCGCCTCGGGCCCGCCCCGCTCCCCGCCGCCCGGCCCCTCCCTGCACGGCTCCGGGCGCTGTTAGCCTCTAGGCTCCGGGCTCTGTAGGGCCCGGTGGCCACCGAGCCCGGCAGCGCCTGCCGGAGCCAACCTGCCCCCACCTCTCCCAGGTGAGAAGTTCTGCCTGATTGCGCCTCCTTTCTTACTCTACTCCTTGCAGCTGTCACCTCGGTCCATGTCCACTTCCTCAGCAACCAGAAAAATGTACACAAAAGAACACGGGATTTGGATTTACAGGGATGGTGATTTGCAGTCCGAGCTGTGTGACCTTGAGCAAATTGCCCAACCTCTCAGCGTCAAGTTCCTCATCCGTGAAGTGATTTGGGAGGATTAAAGCATAAAACGCTTAGCACCGCGCCTGGTACAGGGTATTTTCCCTCCCAGCTCCCTTCCCCCGCCCGCGCCCCGAGTGGCCGTCCGCAGCCCAGTGGGGGAGGCGCCCAGCAGCGGCCCCGACGGGCTCGCGCTCCGATTTCCTCACCGTATGAAATGGAATTCCACAGGGGGATTCGAGAGGAAATGAGACCGGGACGCTCCGTGCTCTCGGCCCGCCGCCCTTCCTGCCTCGGGGACACGGTTTCTAAATAAGGTTGGGAGGGTGAGAGGGCAGGAGGCCAGAGGTTTGCCCTGGGCCTTGCGGGCGAAGGGGCGCCAAAGACCTGGGCTTCCCTTCCCCAGCCTCCCGGGCAACACCGCCCCCCACCCCCGCTGCAGTACGCCCCCCATTCGTTCTTATTGTGCTTCTGCAAGGTATTCTGGAGATCTGGCAACCCAGGTTCCCATGTAACTTTCCTCACTCTCATTCCCAGCCCTAGGCATTTTGTGCTGGTCCACCTTTTCACTTTACTGTCAGCCAGAGAAACTCTGAGCAGGTGGATTCCTAAGCCCTTGTTTGACTGTAGTCAAGCTCCTGTGCCTTTCTGAGCCTGACACTTGGCATCTGGCCAACTTCTGAGGAAAACTCATGTCTACTTCACACAATTGTTCTGAGAATAAATGAGATAATGCTTACAAATCACTTAGCAGTGTTTAGCACGGGGTAAACCCTGAGTAACTTGGCTATTCTTTTGCTTTGCTAGGAGAATGAGAGGTCAGCCCGATGCTAAGTATGAGGATATCGGTAGGAATTTCTATCTTCTTTTCAACATGCTTCTGCCCAACACGTGCCACTGTTTCCCTGGGGCTGTTTGTATCCTCTCACTTCAGCTCCTTCTCTGGCACATGCCAGAGGCCAGAGAGGAGTTGGAAGAATGTCAGTATCATTTGTGTGGTGCTCATATTTTGTTTTGTATTTTTAAGTTTCCTTTTCTTATGTTGGCAACTAGGCTGAAGGCAAGAATCAATGTTTTTTGGTGTTTGGCTCTGTGCCTAGAATGCTCAATGCCATAGAATCTGCATTGTCCACAATCAGCATCATCACCTCCCATTGAAGGAACATTTATTAGTTCCTTAAAAAGACTAGGTAACTGAGGCTGGAACAAAACTAATAGTTAAAAAAAGTAACAAGATGAACAAACCAGGGCCCAACAGAAGCCAAGATAGAGGGCAAGATTATTTCCCCAGAAAGTGTTCCTAGATAGATATTAATGTTCTCAGCGGTAGGGTTTGAATCTTCTGTGCACCTGTGCTCAGTAGTGCATGACAGAGATGACTAAATGATCAGCTGAATGGAGCAAGTGATTGGTTAATCATTTGGGCTACAGAGACAAACACATCAGGTGAATAGGTTAAATAAGTAGGTGATCCCCAACCTCTAGGACCACAAAGGAGGAGATAAAGATTAAACTAACACCAGTAACTTGATGTGGTAAATGCACAGAGAGAAAATTTTGGGTAAACTTTATTAGCTAAGTTTGGAGGGTTATTCAAAGGGGGATGACCTGCAGTATTCTGAGCTGCTCAACAAAGGAGTTAGTGTGTAGTTGACCCTTCTCTTAGAGAAAGGTGGAAAGGGACCATGCTTTGTGCTGAAGGTAGCTATGCATAGTTTCTAAAACAGTAAACTCCTGGAGAGTGAGGAGGAGAGCCTACTCCCTACTCAGGGAGGCTGTCATTAGTGATGGGTGAAGAAATACTATTCTCAAACCAGTTAACAGAGAAGTCATGTAGAACCCTTACTAGACATTATGAACCATGACTTTTCATTTAATTCTCATAATCTGAGAAAATTGTTCTCAGAGGTCAAGCAGTTTGCCTAAGTTCACACAGTAAGCAGTAGAAGACTCAAATGTGTGTCTGCCTGGCCCTGCCCTTGGTGTGCATGGCACTATTGCAGAGGAAGCTGCTTAACACCCAACCTAATCCATAGTTAAAGGTGACCCCTTTATGATCCTGACCGCTTATTCTAGGTCTAGCATCTCTGCCTCAGCATGTTTGAAGCAACTGTCTCCTTTGAGACACTTGAAGAAGCCCCTTCCTTATCCAAAGCTTTTCCTGTCAACAGCTTTTCTTTCTAGGCATGGAACTCATCACAGGTATTTTCCAAAAAAGAAAGCCAGGGGAATCACATTTCAGTATGAATGTGGAAAGAAAACAAAGACCACAACTTAGAGAGCTAAGTCTGAATGGCCTGGAGCCCCTCGGTCTCCCTCTTAAGGAGTGGTTTACACAGTTCACAACTGCCCCTGGTGACAGGCATGGTATGTTTGTCTTTGTTACAAAAAACACTTTCCTGAGGGAGTTCCAGGCAGAGGCATATCTACCCTGTGGCCTGCACAGCATATCTGAGAGGGGAAAGAACAGACTTGTAAATAGGACCTTCAGTTACTTGAGGTATAGATATGGGCCTCTAGTGTCTCTGACCCGAGTGCTGGGCCTTTCCTTGGTCCAACCCCCTAGTAGTACAGAGCTGCAACAAGAAGCTGTTGGATAGTTAGAGGGGTCTCCATTTCCATCTAATGAGAGGCAGATTTCTAATTAACTCCTGTGATGTGTTAATTTTTCAACCTGACATTTTCTCCTCTAATAGATTCTTGTAATGGGTCTTAAATTAAAAGCTGCATTGGAAGCCTAGAGTTTAGGTTAATATCTACCACCTAAGAGGGGTGGGAGCTATAAACATCATTTCCCTCCTAAGGAAAACCTCTCATTTGCACTTCTTTGCTAACCCAATTAAGTGTTGAAGTGGTCAACCCAGAGCCTGCTTTTTATTTCCTGTGAAACAATCCAAACTAATCCATATTCAGTAGCTTCCAAGAAAAGTCTTATTCCAAATACTCGTGAAGAAACCAGCTTTTTTGAATCTAGACAGAACATTTGCAACTCACAAAGAGCTGTCTTGATAGTAAATGTAGGAAAGTAGTTTATTATTACCCACTTTGGTTTTTGAGGAGAAAATGTACTCGGACTAAAGCTCTCTAAGTATGGAGAATTTACCATGGAACAACAGAACTATAGAGAGAGGCCAGCCCACATCCCATCAGTTTATAAATAGTCTGGGTACTACATCTTCTCCTGCACCCAAACTGGTTATAAAACAAAAACAAATCTACTGGGTGAGGCAGAAAAGAATAATGATCTAGTTCCAAGCTGAAGAATGAGAGGTCCAGAGGGACAAAGTAGCAACTGTGGAGAGGCAGAGCCCGCCATTGTGCACCAGTCAGCAGAGAAGAATCATCACTAGGGAGATCTTGACATCGGCAGAATCAAACTCCCATTGTTCTTCCCACTCATATATTTAGGAAGCGTAAGATGTACAGTGGGTATTTTTTTTTTCTTGGTAGTGATGGGTGAGGTACACATGGGCATAAATATATGAAGGGTAAAGTTTGTTATTCTGTCTCCTTGAATCTGGGAGGGCTGTGACTTCTTCAACTAGCCACTGACTTCCAAACTATTGTGATTTTTCAGTTTTCAACTAGGTAAGTTCCAAAGCTATATTATAAACAACTCTACAGTTTCTATCTTGGTTGCCAAAAACCTCACTTTGGATCTCTGAGCATCCTTGTTAGTGGCCCAACTATTCTAAGATGCTGCATAGGTAAAACCAGAGGCTCATACAGAGCCTCTGGTAGATCATTCCAAATGAGGTTGCCCTTGAGCCAGTGCAAATCAAATTTCAGAAAGGTGAGTGAACAGCCACTTTGACAGTGGGTTCTTGCCTCCAGCGTTCCTGCTGCCTGCTCTTTGATCCCAATAAAGGCGTTATGGAAGAACCATCATTGCTGTGCCATTTTCAAATTCCTG